GTACTGGAGTATTTGGGGAGATCAGGGCTGAGTAAGGCTCTCGGCATTACAGTCCCTCAGGGTTCATACTCAAATAAAATTCTACAATAATGACCCAATGTGGCCCAATACAGCTGACCCACAGTACATTATGAGGTATTTAATCAACTCTCTTTGGCTTAAAGAAAATATTTTGGTTTCTGAGTTTTATAGTGGTTGATAGTGGTGGTGTAGCAATTTGCTTATTTGTTTGCTGGGCTTTTTAATCAATCATGATGATAGAAAGCTGTTGTTGGGGCTTAGGAGAAGAAATGACAATCTAATCTGAAATGTCACCGAAGCCAGCAACTGTAGGGAACCTACCAAATAAAATCTGTTGATAAAATAACAGGATATTCGGATTCTGATCTGACAACCTTTATTTTTTATTTCTTCCTTTTTTTTTTTTTTTTTAGATAGGGGCTATCTAAATAATAATAATAATAAGTAATGCGGAAGGTAAGGGAAGGTAGAGAAAAGTGTATAATATCTGCAAAAAGATTATTCCCATTGCCTGTATACACCGTTTCGAATGGACTGCGGTTTTGCTGGCAAACTGCAAACACCTTCTCCAAATTGCAGACACATTTTGAGTCCCAACAATGAGCATGGTTCACAAAGCAATTTGTAGTCATGGTTTCTTTTACAAAATGATGATGTTTAAGAACATCTTGTAATTAGGTCAAAGAAAAACAGTGTTTATTCTATGAGCTGAGGATGGGCTGCAAGTCTGAGTTCTAATTAACACAGTGGTTGAGTCACTAATGCCAAGTGTCTGTTGTTAATGAAGACATGAAAGCAGTCCCACAGGTAACATTTTGGAAGGGGCTTCTTTACAACAGCCGTTCACTTGGGCAAACAGTGATAGCAATCTATGCCCTCATCCAGACTAATGAAATGCATAGCTATTTACTGGATTCTTTTTACCTCAAACCCACCTGGGAGAAAATAGAGATTTTTCCCAATAAATGTGTACAGTAAGGCCTTTGGAAAAATGCAAGTATTCATAGCTACAAGTATTAAACCATGCACTTTGAGCCCGTATGAATAGCAGCAAGGCTTAGGAGAGAATGTTCTTTTTTTTTCAATGCTAGATCACAATGGACTTCATCACAGCCCTGGAGCGCTACAGTCAGAATAGGCGGAAGCAGGAACTCTTGCTCCACATTATGCTTTCTTTTTGCAGCATTAAGGCTTTGGCTGAAGTGCTAATGACGAAAACTATCTCCTTGGGAACCTGTAGGTTTCCACCTTGTACCAGGCCTGGAGAGATTAAAATGTTATGACAGTTGTGAAGTCCCTTTCTGGTAAAGCTCCATGATCCTGTGAAAAGTGTCAAAGGAGATGAATGAAAACAGAGAACCCCACCTGACCTCCAAGTTGAAGAGTGAAGTAAAAAGTTAACCCTAGTCACTCCACTGCAGCAGAAATGTTACATATTCCTGCTGCCAAAATTCCTCAGTCCACTCTTGAAAACACAATAAACACATTCTCTCTCTCTCTCTTTCTGCAGAGCATGTTTTCTTTCTGGTGTTTCTTTATATGGGAGACAGGTAAAGGAGAGAAAGGATTGTTTAAGTGGATGAAACAGGCTATATTTAAGAATTTTAGGCCATGAAGGGTGGCTCATGCCTGTAATCCCAGCACTTTGGGAGGCTGAGGTGGGCAATAGCCTGAGGTCAGGAGTTTGAGACCAGCCTGGCTAATATGGTGAAACCCTGTCTCTACTAAAAATAGAAAAACATTAGCTGGGCGTGGTGGTGGGCACCTGTAATCCCAGCTACTTGGGAGGCTGAGGTAGGAGAATCACTTGAACCCGGGAGGCAGAGGTTGCAATGAGCTCAGATCATGCCATTGCACTCCAGCCTGGGTGACAAGAGCAAAACTCCGTCTCAGAAAAAGAATTTTAATCCTCTTGCCAAAGGCATATGCCTAGATATCACATGGTTCTGACATCAGTAAGTTTATTATTTAAAAGTTTTTAAAATATACATATTTTTTAGAAATAGAGATGGGGCCTCGCTGTGTTGCCCAGGCTGATCTTGGACTCCTGGGTGATTCTCCTGCCTTGGCTTCCCAAAGTGCTGGGATTACAGATGTGAGTCACCGTGCCTGGATGCTTAGTAAATTTAGACATGAACCCAAACTAAACCCACCCTCAGCTCCTACCTTTCCCACCTGTCCAGAGCTGCCTGCCCTCATTCCTTCCTCCCCTTACTGGCATCTGTTACCTTTCTACTCTTGAAGGAAAGCTTACTTCGGGATAATTTTCCTTCTCCATCTGCTTCTCTTGGCTCTGCAACTCATAAGAAAGGATTGGAGAAAATATCACATGGATCACATAGTTTTGCATTTCAGAGACTCTAATGCAGTCATCTGGTGCTAGTCAAAGAATCTCAAAAGATCTACTTCCTCCTGAGTCTTCAATCTTGCTGTGAGATAAGGGAAGTTCAAATGTGGTTTCACCTTTTAAAATATGGGTTACTGAGGCTGAAAATCTGAAAAAAACCAGCTCCAAGCATTTGCTATCTTCACCATTTTGCTTCTCTACTCTCCCTTCAATTACTTTTCCTTCCTTGCTATTTCAATGCAGAATCTTCCATGAGGAAGTTCTCAGCCCTTCCACCTTCCACCCCTTTAGCAGATCACCAGTAGGTTCCTGAGGCATATTGTATTGCAACAAGGGATATTCGAAGGTTTTAGTTCCTAGCAGCGATAAGCTGGTGAGTGAGGGCCTTCTCAGTTCCCTAGGATCATGCCCCAGTAGAGACTACCTTGAGGTGAATGTGGTCAAGTTTTCCCTGGAAAAGGCAGCCATTCCAAAAGCCTGTTCTGGGACATGGCTCCATCACTAGCACAATCTGCAAAGTGTGGTTTTTTTTTTTTTTTTTAACAATAGACTGACAACAGTTACTTTTTTTTTTTTTTTTTTTTAACAATAGACTGACAACAGTTACTGGTATGAAATTTCTTTCTCTTCATTTGCTTTTCATCTCTGAGCAATTTCTTTTTGCTTTAATCAACCAGCTACTGTGTTCATGAAATACAACTTTTTTTTTTTAATATACAATTTTTTTTTCAGATTGTTTCAAAGGAAAGAAAAAACCTGGAAGAGCAAAAATCTGGGTCCCTGTTTTTTATCTGCCACTTGAGAGCTGTGTGACCTTGAGCAAGTCATAGCCATTCCTTCTTAAAACATGAGAGTGCCTGGTATATGCCAGGCACTGGGGCACAATGATGAGGAGGAACAGGAAATGGACCCAAGAAATTGGCCATTACACTTGCTCTAAAGAGTTGACCAAGATACTCAAGAGCAGAGAGGAGAAAACCTCTAAGTCTGCTTGGAGGATGGGAAGGATCTTTCATAAAACAGGTAGAAGAACGTTGGCTCTGGTGCTGTGAAATACTTGGTCAAACGCACTAGAACACAGTGCTTTTTATGAGCACTTTATTGGTTTGAAAATTATATAGTTCATTTCTATTAGTGGTGATACTTACAACTTGATCATGCACATGTGACTTTCAAAATCTAAAGTTAACAAATCTATCTACCTACCAAAGAATAGAAAGACTTTAGAACACTCTAAGCCAATGATCTCCTCCATTTTGTTTTAATTTCATCCTATTGTATAACCACAAAATCAATCACTATTATGATGTTGCTTCTTATAATCAAGATCTATTTAGATTTATTTACATTTTACTAATTTCCTTGCTTACAATACCTTTCTGCATCTCACTCCTTTTTTTTTTTTTTTTTTTTTTGAGACAGAGTCTCTCTCTGTCGCCCAAGCTGGAGTGCAGTGGCGTGATCTTGGCTCACTGCAACCTCCACCTCCCGGGTTCAAGCAATTTTTCTGCCTCAGCCTCCCGAGTAGCTGGTACTACAGACACACACCACCACGCCCTGTTAATTTTTGTATTTACTTTAGTAGAGATGGGGTTTCACCATATTGGTCAATCTGATCTCGAACTCCTGACCTTGCGATCTGCCTGTCTTGGCCTCCCAAAGTGCTGGGAGTACAGGCATGAGCCACCACGCCCGGCTTCACTCCTTCCTTCTGAGTTCAACTTTGTTTTTCCTGAATTGCATCCACTAGTAGGGTCCTTTAGGGGTGCACTCTCAATTATTATTATTTTAATGATGGTTTAGTTGGACATAGAACTTTAGTCAAAATCCATTTAGATTTATTTACATTTTACTGATTTCCTTACCTACTATACCTTTCTGCATCTCACTCCTTCCTTCTGAGTTCACTCTTGTTCTTCCTTATTTGCATCTACTAGTAGGGTCCTTTAGGGGTGCACTCTAAATTATTATCATTATTTTAATGATGGTTTAGTTGGGCATAGAACTTTAGTTTGAAAACTATGCATCTCAAAGATATTAGTACACTTATAGTGTTGCTTATATCAATGTAATTATTGTTCATTTTGGTTAACTGACTTTTTGCTTATGAAGATCTTTGTCTTTGACATTTTGTTGTTTCACTACATTTTGTTTTGTTGTTGACATTAGGAATGAACTTATTTTTATTTTTCTTGATCAGGACTTCTTAAATTTTGTGAATCTGACCATTTACGTTTCAAAAAGTTTAGACAATTCTAGTCATTGCATCTTCAAATTTTGCCTCTTCCCCATTTTTTCCATGTTTTCTTTCTGGAACTTCTATTGGATATCTTTTCATTTTATTCTCTACATTTCTTTTTCTTCATGTTTTTTTTTGTCTCAATCTCTTTGGAATTCATGCTCAGAGATTTCTTCCAGTTTGCTAATGCTTACTCCAGTTGCGTATTCCAGCTAATGCTATTCCAGCTAATGTTATCTTCCAGCTTCCACTAGCTGGAATGCATATTCCAGCTAATGCTATCTTCCAGTTTCCTTTGCTCTTTCTAATGCATCAATTAAGTTTTCAGCTTCAATGAATGTACTTTTCATTTCTAAGCACTGTGTTTGTTTATTCCGTCAACTTTGCAGTTGCATTTTTCTCCTTTTTTTTTTTTTTTTATTGTTTTACATCTTTAATCATTCTAAAGATACCTGTTTTATTGCCTGTGTCTGACTCACCGGAAATTCCTAGGTATCCAGTCATGCTGTTTGTGGTATCTGTTGCTTCTTGCTCCTGGTAGCTTGAGTGTTTCATAAATATAGATTGCAAATTTATCAACACTGAGCCTTTATCTGTGAGGATCCTGTGAGGCCTGGATCGAAGGTGTGATCCTGCAGCAAAGTTTTACAACTGCCTCTGTCGAATGCCCCATGGGTAGAAAACCAGGCTCCATTTTTACATGAATTGCTTGATTGACAGTACTTGAGCTATAAAAGACAAGCCCTGAATCTATGTGGGGGCAGGTCTTGATCAAGAACTCTCAGGGCAGACTTTCTTTTTCCTCACTCAGAACCCAGACTGAAATAAACAAAATACCTTGTCATCTCCCTGTCAGTGGGTGGTTTTATTTAAGGACCTCTCAATTACTGAAAATAGAGTCCTTCAAGAGTCCCCTACTGGCATCTCAGTTCCAACTCCCAGCCTTATATATGCGTGGAGCCAGGACCTCATCTGCCATCTCCACGCAAGCATTTGCTCTGAGCTAGTGCGATGGCGCCCCCTTCCTGTCTCCCACTTCCCTCCCAGGACAACCACAGGCTTCCTGTCTCTGTGCTGCTCTGGTTTTCAGTGACCTTTTTCAATTTTAGCTCCTGAACATTTCTTGTACTATCTTATAAAGTCAGCTATGCTTTTAAAGTATGTTTCCCTCCCCCCACCCAGCATTTCTAGATATTTTATAATGGGAGGCTCTACACTTTTCTATATTGTTAGAAATGCAAACTCTTATATATACTTTTACTAATAGATCCCAAAGAAGTTTTTAACTTGGTGAAATCATCTTGTTATGTGAAAAGGTGGCCGTCGTAGCTGGCTAACATGCTAAAGAGGATTAGCCTTGGTGAACACGCTACTAACTCAAAAAGTTATAATAGGATGCTTGAGAGAATACAGGAGAAACATAAAGCCTTTTGAGGGAATAGTCAAGCAGAATATCGCAAACTGAAGGAATCTTGGAGATTAATGTATTTGTTCATTCATTCATTCATCAGTTACCTGATGCATGCCTATGACCCAGAAACTGCTGGGTATGCAGTTTCTTCTCATCAAGATCACCTTCTGCAGCACACGGTTAATAATAAACAGATGATTAAGTAGCATAGTTATAGATGGTGATAAAAGCTCCACACTTATCAGATGAAGACTGGGAGGTATCAGCCTCCATGAAGAAGTAACAGTTGAGCTGAACCCTAAACCATGAGAAAGAGTTAGCCATGAGAAGAGGAGGAAGCAGCACCTAGACGGAAAGGCAATGTGATACAGTTGGTGGGCGGACAGCACAGGAAACTCCAGTGAGAAACCAGAGCAGACAGAGGGTTCCGAGAACACAGAAACCAACTTAGTCAGAGTTGGCCCTGGCGGGGCTCTGATTATACCTTCTCTATTCTCCAGTCCTCCACCCCTCACATACCACTAATGCCCTTGACAGCTGTCCTATTCAGCCTTGTCTTTAAGCAAGTTGTTATCTACCGCATCAAATACCTCCAAGTGCCCACATGAGCCATAAGAAGACCTAGAACACCTGCTTGTGGGGTATTTTGGACCTCTTGCTCCAAATCCATAGAGCCTCTGCAATTAATGAGATTATCTAGGAGTTCTTGCACCTGTTGTTTTTATGTAATTCTGTCTGTGCTCACTCGAATAACTACTAATTATGTTCTGGCATAATAAATAAAAACTTGCTGTATGGTTTTAGAAAACAAAGAAAGTGCTTGATATTTAAAAAGTGCTTTTTATTAGAAAAATCTCTATACTAAATTGTCAAATTTTCATATCTTTTTGTTATATAGAGAGCTATCTATACAGCCCTGCTCCAGTTGACAAGTATATATACATGTATGTATACATATATGTATTTATATGAGCCTGAAAAGAAGAAAACAAATTTTATTGTCTTCTTTCTAATATTATTGATGAGTAACTGCATCCTATCAATAGTTTGGAAACTATTGTTCACTTGATTTCACTTTATTTTCATGATAATCATGGGAGGTTAATAGTATTATTTTCCTTCTTTACCAGAAAAGGAAATCAGTTTCCTTTTATGACAATGGTGAAGCAACATAAAATATTACATAGAATAGATTAAGGATAAAATGTGCACGTTAAGAGTTAAATATTCATCTCTGTTCTAAGCGAGTAACACCAACATTTGCATCTCAATTTGTATGAATTGGGTATTTTGAATAGCTATGTAATTTCCTACCATTATTGGTAGAAAAGCTGTTGTGCATGCTTTCTTTTAAAATAAACATGCATTGACCAAAATTCGTTATCGAATACAAAATCAAAATCAACATTTCAATTTTTATACTTAGATACGATTTCATTTTCTTTACCTTATTGTTTTGAAGGCCTCTCTACAGGAAGCCAGAGTCTTATGAATTCTAGGATGAGATAGATTTCTGAGACATTAACCACATTAGATGGAATTATTTTCATTAATCCTTTGTATAGCAACTGAAAATAGACCTGGAAATAAGTGTTGAAAACATAAAGCTTAGACATGAGAAGCATTCAGTAGGAGGAGAGTCCTGGCATAGTTGTGTTTTCCCAGGGCACTGTCTTAATTTAATCTTACTGCCACAAATGGAGTGGCTCTTTGAAATACTAGGATTTGTCAAGTGACTTTTCTCAGTAATGGTGTTGCCTCTGCCCGTCTGTCAAACTCTTTTCAACATATGTTTAAAGGGCAAGTTAGAACACAAATGCAGAACTGAAAAGCATTCTGATATATCTACACTGTATTTCGGATGTTGTTTTACTTGCTCTAGTTTAGTCTCTTCAGTTCTTGATGATAACATACTTGGCCCATTCTAGCTGCCTACAAAACACATCAATCAGGAAAATAAATTGTTTATAGAATCACACACATGTGATTTCTAACCATCCCAGTTATTCCTATCCTTCAAAATCCTGGCCATTGCCACATTGCTACTTGATTGTATAAAATTTTTTGACAGGTTGTATGTCAAGTGCTTTATATGTAACATCCATCAAACCTTTACAATTACCCAGTGAACCTGCTACCTTGATTAGCCCCCCCCTTTTTTTTTAACAGATAAGGAAACAGAGGTGTACAGATGTTAACTATCTTACCCAAGGCCATGCAGTCAGGATGGAATGGGGCAGGATTCGAACCCAGGCAGTTTCACCCCAGGGCCTGAGTGTTTAGTCACCGATAAATGGAATGTTGCTTGCGGATTACGTGCAGAGCATCATGCTGGACATGTATCTCATATTCTACTGAGGAAGTAAGTTACGAGTCTAGGAGGAGGAGGCAGGATGCAAAGTCCAAAACCCTTTGCCTACTCCTCATGGCCCTTTATTTTGGGATTCAACTTATTTTTCTTACCTAATTGCCTACCACCTACCATTTTTCTACTTGAACTCTGGACTCATTGTGAGGTGTCTAGAGAAACCCTCACCTTCCCAGCTCCATGCCTTTGTTTACTTGATGATAACATGTTCTTCTCCATCCCCCACACAAATCCGTTTTTCTTTAGGTGCATCCTAACCAGTCTCCGTGGAGCTCTTCTTTCACTTGAACTCATAACATTCCTTCCCTCCTTTTTCGGTAACCATATATGCTAGGTATTATTTCATGTGCTTCATATCTATCCCTGATGCAAGCCTCAAGGTTACCTAGAAGAGTATACTAGGAAGAAAGAATGGAAAATGCAGAGGCCTTAAGGCCAGAGTGTACTAAGCATGTACCAAACCACAGGGAGGCCAGCAGCATCTAGGAGATATTTTTTAGCTCCCACAGGGCAAAAATGAGCTATGTGGGTACTCAAGGCCAGCAATCTATTTCTCCAAGCTGTCTTTGATGACTCTACACTCAGGCTTGCCTAGTGGAGTGGCTGTCTTATCTCTTTTATAAAGGCATTAATCCCATTCAAATGGCAGAGCCTTCAGTCACTTTCCAAAGGCCCTACATCCTAATGCTATTACCTTGGGGGTTAGGATTAAAACATATACATTTTGGGAGGACACAGACATTCAGACAATAGCAGTGGTTCTTTGGAAGCCTATCACTCTAGTTTTTCAGTATTATATGTAACAAAAACTGGGCGCAGCTATCATCTAGTAACAAAGCCTTGAAATACATAAAACAATATTTTCAGAACTAAAAGGAGAAATAGACAAATCCATAATCATAAGGGGAGATTTTGGTGCTCCTTTTTCAGTAAAGAATATAAATAGAATGAACAGACAAAAAAATAGTTAAAAACATAAGGGTTTGAAGAACATGATTAATAAACTTGATCTAATTGATACATACGTGTTGAAAACTAACACCCAACAAGAGCAGACTAGAATTTTTTTTCAAGTACATGTTCTATAGAATTTTATTAAAAAATTTGACCATATGCTTGACCATGAAGGAAGCCTTAACAAATATCAAGAAACTGAAATAATATGGAATATGTTTTCTGATCACATGTAATGAAACCAGCAGTAAATAATAAAAATGCCATACTGAAACCTCACATTTTTAGAAATTAATAATGCACTACTAAATGATTCAATAGGTCAAATCAAAATCACAATAGGAATCAGAAGACATTTTAAATTTCATATATTAAAAATGTAACATATCAAAATGTGTGGGCTGAATTTGAGTCAGTGATTCAAGGGAAATTTATAGGCTTAAATAAAGCTATTAGGGAAGTAGAAAAAATGGAAATGAATCATCTAAGTATCCATTTCAAGAAGTTTGAAAAAGAAAAGCAAATTTTAACTCAAAGAAAGTAGATTAGGTAAATTATAAACAACAAACTAGAAACCAATGGAAAAAACACAAATAAACGTATAATGAGGTTTAACAAATCCAAACATTGTATCTTTTTTTTTTTTTAAGCCTTAAATTGACAAACATCGGACCAGTCTGATCAAGAAGAGAGAGTGAGAATGTGCAAATAAATAATTTCAAGAATGAAAGCTCGTTTGAAAAAATCCTAAGAGGTCTATGTGACTTTTATGTCAATAATTTTGAAAATTTAGATAAAATAGACAAATTCATAGAGAATCTCAATGTACCAAAATGAGAGTGTCAGAAATAGAAGGATTTGAATAGTTCTGTATCTATGAAAGAAATTGAGTCCATAACTAAAAATTTTCCCATCCTAGATGCTTCCCTAGTGAAGTTTACCAAATATTTAAAGAAGTAATCACATCAAATTTACAAAAACTTTTCCAGAAAATTGAAAAGGAAGTACTTCCCAAATAATTTTGTAAGACCAACATATCCTTGATTCTCAAACCTGACAAGAACATACAAGAAAAAAATAACAAGCCACTGTCATTTGTGAACATAAAAGCAAAAATTCTAAAATAAATAAATAAATAAAAGAATCAAACCCAGTGTTACACGAAAAGAATAATACATCATGACCAAAGTGGGTTTATTTCAGATACGTAAGATTGTTTTTAAATTAAATAATCAATGTAATTTACTGCAGTAATAGAATTTTAAAATCATATGACCATCTTAATAGATGCAGTAAAATTTTTTTAATAAAACCCAGGATTCATTTATTTAAAAAAAACTCTTGCCTTCACAAAGATATCTAGATAAACCCCATTAAAAACATCATATTTAAGAGTTTTTCCTCTAAAATCAGTAACAAGGCAAAGATGGTTGCTTCTTTTCCACATTGTTTTGTAGGTTCTAGCTAGTGCAGCAAAGTAAGAAAAAGAAAAGAAGAAACCTTATTGGAGGACTGGAAAGTAAGAAATGAATCTGTCATTATTCACATACAATTATACACATAGAAAAATCCAAAAGACCTACAGAAAAACTATTACAATTAAAAGAGGAATAAACCAAGGCCACTGAATACATAGTCAATAAACAGTCCTGTACTTAGTTTCCATATGTAATTAAGTTTTTATATGCTAGTAACAAGCAATTAGAAAACAAAAATTTTAACAAAATATCATTTATCAACAGCATAGAAAAGTCACATGTCAAAGAATCAATCTAAAAAATGTGCAAGACCTCTACACAGAAAACTACAAAACATTGGGAGAAATTAAAGAGAATCTAACTAAATGGAGGGATGTATCATATTGTTACTTCTGTCACATTCTGATAGTTAGAGAAAGTCACAAAGTTAACCCAGATTCAGTGCTGGAGGGGACTATGAAAGGACATGAATTCCATGAGGTGTGGTTCACTGAGAGCCATCTTTGGAGATTAGCTACAGAGTTCATGTTCTGGCCTTTTATGTTTTACATTCTTCACCGGTGAAATACACTTACATTTATCTCCCTTTAGACTCCCAAAGCCTCATCCCGTTATGGCACCAGCTCAAAGTCCAGTATCTGATCATCTAAATCATGTTGGCAAATCCAGATAAGGCTCTTCGAATGTATTCCCTCTAGTACTACTCCTTGGGTGTGGGTCCTTGGGTGCAGATACTGAATTGTACAGATTGTGAATTAAAAAGACTAGCTCTCTCAAACCTCACCACCAACACACATATACACTCCCATAAATACACAACATATATTCATAAGATAGGGCTAGAATAAACAAATAGACACTTGCATTTAAAAGGGGGGCATGAATAGGAGGCACAGAGCAAGCACCCATCCACAGCAATTCCAACATCCTCTGAGCACATTTTGCCAGCCCTGCTACTTGGGAGTGATTCTCCGTGGCTCTTGACTCCGCCCTCCATGATATCCTGCCTTTTTCATTAGAAACGACCCACGCTTGCAACTGAGAAACTTTCTTAACCTGCTTAAGAAAGCAGGGGCTCTTGCCTCCGCCCTCCGTGACATCCTGCCTTTTTCATTAGAAACGACCCGTGCTTGCAACTGAGAAACTTTCTTAACCTGCTTACTCCTCATAGAAGTTTGAGGACCCAGAAGCTTCTTTCATTTTGAACTGTTTCAGTCTCTTTCAGCTCTAGCTGATACAGTTCTTTTGGAAATGTTGTGGTTTTCTGAGATATCAAATGATAAATCAGCTCTCTTAGATAAAAGCCCCTCTGTACTTTTCTGCTTCACTCATTTATTACTCCGCAACAAACTCCCCAAACTAAGTGACTTAAAATAACAATATATGTTTTATGATTCTGTGGGCTTTCTGGAAAATATTGCAAAATTGGACTACATTAAAACTATAGGCCAAGCACGGTGGCTCATGTCTGTAATCTCAGCACTTCGGGAGGCCGAGGCAGGTGGATCACCTGAGGTCGGGAGTTTTGAGACCAGCCTGGCCAACATGGTGAAACCCCGCCTCTACTAAAAATACAAAACTTGGCCAGGTATGGTGGCATGCTCCTGTAATCCCAGCTACTTGGGAGGCTGAGGTGAGAGAATTTCTTGAACCCAGGAGGCAGAGGCTGTAGTGAGCCGAGATCGTGCCACCGTATTCCAGCCTGGGCTACAGAGCAAGATCCCATCTCAAAAATAAAATAAAATAAAATAAAATAAAATAAAATAAAATAACATAAAATAAAATAAAATAAAATAAGTTATAAAGAACGCCTGAAGAATCAGTAAGAATCAGATAATTTAATAGAAAAAAGGGGGAAAGATATGAACAGGCACTTCAGAAAACAGAATATCTAAACGGTTAGTAAATATATATTATATAAAAGAATTCTCAATTAGTCATCAGAGAAAACTCACATTGAAGCAACAATGTGATACCACTGCATACTCAAAAAGATAGCTAAAGTTAAAAAGCCAACTACAAGCAAAATTGCTGGGGGGAGTATAAACTGAAACAGTCACCACTTTGGGAAACTGTCAGTATCTACTAAATTTGAATATAATATACCTTATGACTCAGCAATTCCACTTTTAGGTATATGTCCAACAGAAATGCATACACACATATGCACTAGAAGACTTGTGTATAAATGTTCAAAACAGCAGTATTTGTAATGCCCCCAAATGAAAATAACCCTAATGTCCATCCACAATCTTAAAAAACACACCAACACGTGATGTAGAGCCATAAATCAGATACCATACAGCAATGAAAATGCATGAACTGCTGTATACAACACGAGTAAATCTCACACATATAACATTAAGCAAAAGAAACCAGACACAGAAAGCACATACGATATAATTTCATTTATATAAAGTACTATAAAAAAAGGTAGGCTGGGCGCGGTGGCTCAAGCCTGTAATCCCAGCACTTTGGGAGGCCGAGACGGGCGGATCACGAGGTCAGGAGATCGAGACCATCCTGGCTAACACGGTGAAACCCCGTCTCTACTATACAAAAAACTAGCCGGGCTAGGTGGCGGGCGCCTGTAATCCCAGCTACTCGGGAGGCTGAGGCAGGAGAATGGCGTGAACCCGGGAGGCGGAGCTTGCAGTGAGCTGAGATCCGGCCACTGAACTCCAGCCTGGGCGACACAGCCAGACTCCATCTCAAAAAAAAAAAAAGGTAAAACTTCTTTTATAAGGGAGTGATGATGTTATGTTTTGACCAGGGTGAAAGTTATACCAGTAGTTCTTTTGGTAATAATTTACGGAACTGTGCACCTTGAATGAAAGTCCACTTTACAAAGGGGTACATGTTTTGAACTTTTAATTTAGCAGAGCATACAAAGGGGAGTAATCAGTTGTTCCTGGGAGAGGCCTGATAGCTGAGTTATGAATGAGGAGGAGAGGTGTATCATGCAACCAGGGAGGGGCAAGAAGCAATCCCGGGAAGAGGAAGCATCTTGAGCCAAGGAATGAAAGTGCGAAACAGTTTGACATAAACTGGGACTCTCCAAGCAATTTCATATGGGCTAGGAAGAAGGAGGGTGAGATCAGGTGGAAGAGGAAGGAAAGCCCCACACCAAGTATTTACAATTTTATTATGCTTTCAGAAGATATTGATAGGTTTTAAGCATGGAAGTGTAAGTTCTGGTTGGCATTTTAAAAAATCTCTCAGGCGGCCAGGTGCAGTGGCTCAAGCCTGTAATCCCAGCACTTTGGGAGGGGGAAGCAGGCGGATCACGAGGTCAGGAGATTGACACTGCCCTGGCTAACACGGTGAAACCCCGTCTCTCCTAAAAAAAAAAAAAAAAAAAAAAAATAATTAGCCCGGCGTGGTGGCAGGCGCCTGTAGTCCCAGCTGCTCAGGAGGCTGAGGCAGGAGAATCGCTTGAACCCGGGAGGCAGAGGCTGCAGTGAGCTGAGATCCGGCCACTGAACTCCAGCCTGGGCGACACAGCCAGACCCGTCGTTCTCAAAAAACAGACAAAACAAACGAAAACACACATAAACTCTCAGGCTGAGGCGGGGTGAATTGCAAGGGGGTGCCTGGACCTATACCCTCCCAACTTTTTTTCAGAGTTCTTCCTTCATCCAACTCCAAAGGCTGAGAGAATGAGAGGTCAGATCATGGAAAATAATGAAGCTCATGGAGGCACACTCACCTTCTCTGTCCTTGATCTCATTAGCATCAGAAAATCATCGATGATCAAAACTGGAAAACAAGTACAAAATTCTTAATGAAAATTGCTCCACCGAAATGTCATAATGGTGATGGAAGGATTGTCCCAAAACTGAAATACCGGAAAAGACATGTATACTCTAAAGTATCTGTCCATGCACTCATTTGCTACAACTGGTTTTTCCTGTCCTTCATCAAGTCAAAGCTAGCTGTTCCTAGGCTTTTCTTCTTAAAAACCAGTTTTACCTGTTATGATACTTTACCTGCTATAGCTAGATTTTTAAAGACATGTTTTCTCCATACTTGCAAACTGGAAAACCTGCCTTGTTAAAGTCAGGTAACTGGGAATGTAATTAGCATATAAGTAAATATTCAACCTCACTATTTAATCAGATAATTGCTCATTAAAATAAAATGTTATTTCACAGCTATCATATTGAGAAAGATTTAAAGGTCTGATAATGCAACTGTTGGAAAAGGAAACTCACACACTGCAGAAGAGATTGAAAATTGGTTTGACCATTCTGGAGTGCAATTTGTTTATATCTTTTAGAGCTGAAGATGCACTTATTCATCAAGCCGAAATTCAACTTGCAGGTAGAAACCATGCAGAAAGTCTGAAACTATCTGTAATAAAAAGCCAAGTTTTCTAAAAATATTTCCAACTTGCTGAGGATCAATGTCTTTGTAAAATACAATGAAAATGAATAAATAAAATTTTGGCTGGGAACAGTGACTCATGCCTATAGTCTCAGCATGTTGGGAGGCTGAGGTGGACGGACCACTTGAGCCCAGGAGTTCGAGACCAGTCTGGGCAAGACGGCAAAGCCCCATGTCTATAACAAGTAAAAAAAATTAGCCAGGTGTGGTGGTGTGTGCCTGTAGTCCTAGCTACTCAGTGAGGTGAGAGGATCAATCACCTGAGCCTGGGAGTTTTAAGGCTACAGTGAGCTGTGATTGCGCCACTGCACTCTGGCTTAGGTGACAGAGTGAGACTCTATCTCAAAAAAATAAAATTTTAAAACAGACATACAAAATACAAAACTCAATATTCTGTATTATTGGATTCAATAGACACCAAAGTACTCAGTTGGATTGCTATTAAAGTTTCTAAATGAGTATTGTCAATTTCTATGCTTAATTAGTTATGAACTGGTAACGATCTTCAGGTCATGGTTTGAGAAGCTCACAGGAACAAGGAGATAGATATAAGGAAAAATGTTCATTGCAGCACCGTTTAAATATTTAAAAAAGTTTAATTCACAACCAAAGGAAAAAATAAATGTTATGGTCGTACAATAAAACATAACACAATAATTAAAATGAACAAACTAGACCTACATATATTGACATGGATAAGTCTTGAAACCAGAACATTCAGTGAAAAAAACTGCTGACGGTCTTTATTGTATAAGTCCATTTATATAAGTTTCAAAAATACTTAACACAATATTACATAAATATCTTATGAATATGGATAAACATATTAAAATTAAGGAATAGAAGTAACTAACTTCAGAATAGCCATTTTCCTCTGGGAAGTGTGAGAAGAAATATAAGATTAGGAAACTTTGATTTTACTTGTGATGTCTTATTTCTATCAAAAAATTGAAGGCCAGGTGCGGTGGCTCACGCCTGCAATCCCAGCACTTTGGGAGGACGAGGTAGGCAGATCATGAGGTCAGGAGTTCGAGACCCACCTGACCAACATGGTGAAACCCCATCTCTACTAAAAATACAAAAAATAGCTGGGTCTGGTGGTGCGTGCCTGTAATCCCAGCTACTCAGGAGGCTGAGGCAGGAGAATCGCTTGAACCCGGGAGGCGGAGGTTGCAGTGAGCCAAGATTATGCCACTGCACTCCAACCTGGGTGACAGAGCAAGTCTCCATCTCAAAAAAAAAAAAAAAAAGATATTGCATAATGTAAAATTTTATTAAATCTGGGTATTGCGGTACATGCATGTCATGTTATTTCCTATTTTAAAAATGTTTGAATTATTTCATAATTTTTAATTTATAAAAACAATAAAAATGGTTCAAGGAAATTTACTACATCTTTGAAATATTGAAATTGTTTAAGTGTCATGGTTTACTTGGCTAGAATACACATAGACATAGACAGATAAACTTAACCATTTACTTCTGGTTTCAAAGTTCTGACTTAAAAACTGGAATACCTCACAGACTCAGGAGGGATAATGGAAAAGCTGTCCCCAGGTAAACACAGAAAACCTGTATTCCAGTCTCAGCTCTTCATGTACTAACCCGTGTGAACACCAAAACATCTCAAATTACAGAGGAGAACTTACAGGTCACCTACTACAACGTGCTCACTCTAAAATAAACTAGCTCACCAGGCTGTGAATTGTCCAAGGCACACACTCATTGTTGGTGGAATTAAGATTGGGTTTGAATGTTTTCTCCATTAGAAAAGTCACAAGTCATTTGGAAACAAATGAACAAACAAAAATAATGGTGTTTGGTTACTGCTAGTTGTTTCTACAAGGCTTGATTTCAGACATTCAAATGCAGTAGCTCACATTGCCTCTTCAAGAGTAAGCTGAGGGATCACGTGTCACATGGGAAGCAGGGGAAAGACCACTGACTTTGAAGTCAAGCAGGTCTTGCTGTGAGTTCCAGCTGTGCACTCTGTGATCTAGGGCCCAGGTTTATTTACCTGTAAGTATAGGGAAGAATAAATTCCAAATCACATACAGAGTTTGTGGCACATGTTGAACATAATGAATGGCTAAGGAATGTTACTTCTTTCACCTTTTTTAACTACTAAGACATGGAGCATAAAATGACTCTATGTCTGCCTTGAAGTGGTGATACAGACACGTAACAAATATATTAGTAACTCCCACTCTCCCCAGCCATCCAAGGTTTCACTTTCCAAGGTTTCAGTCATCCATGGTCAACTGTTGTCTGAAATTAAGTGATTATAGTACAATATCATATTTTGAAAGAGAGAGAGTGTTTACATATATATATATATATATTTTTAAGACAGAGTCTCACTCTGTTACCTAGGCTGGAGTGTGGTAGCATGATCTTGGCTTACTGTAAATTCTGCTTCCCAGGTTCAAGCAATTCTCCGGTCTCTGCCTCCTGAGTAGCTGGGATTATAGGTGCCCGCCGCCATGCCTGGCTAATTTTTGTATTTTTTTAGTAGAGTTGGGGTTTTGCCATGTTGGTCAGGCTGGTCTTGAACTCCTGACCTCAGGTGATCCACCCGCCTCAGCTTCCCAAAGTGCTGGGATTACAGGTGTGAGCCACTGCACCTACACATAACTTTTATTACAGTATATTGGTATACTTGTTCTATTATTAGTTATTATTGTCAATCTCTTACTGTGCCTAATTTATAAATTACCCTTTGTCCTAGGTATGTACGTATAGGAAAAAACATAGTGTATGTAGAGTTTAGTACTGTCCTTGTTTCAGGCATCCACTGGGAGTCCCAGAAGGTATTCCCGGAAAAGAGGAAGCTACTGTAATTGCAGTAGAATGTGGTAAAGACCAACCTAGGCACATGTGGAATATTCCAAGGCAATTGAAAAAGCAGCAGGTAACTACTACACTATACTGTGTTTTCATTTAACATATCTAGGGCTCCATTTGTCCATAAAATTATTCTCTGCTTACAAACGTGAGAGCATTAAAAAAAAAAAAACAAAGAAAGTGTTTGGCTTGTAATAAGGTGTATACTAATATGAGGCATTGTTATTTTTTTCACCCATGAACCAAGTAGGGGAAAAACCAGAATAATGGGCAGAACCAAAACCAGAATAATGGCCTCTCAAAGATGCGTACATCCTAATCCCCAGAATCTGTGAATATGTCATGTTATATGTCAAGGAGGAATTAAGGTTGCTAACCAGCTGTTATTAAAATGAGATCATCCTGGATTATCTGGGTAGGCCCAATGTAATCATAAGGGTCCTTTATGTGTGGAAGAGCGAGGCAGTGTTCAGATTCAAAGATCTGAAGATGCTACACTGCTGCCTTTGAAGATGCAGGAAGGAGCCACAAGCCAAGGAATGCAGTTGTACTCTAGACTCTGGAAAGGGCAAGGAAACAGATTATCTCCTAGAGTTTCCAGAAAAAAAGCAGACATGCAAACAACTTCATTTTTAGCCCATGAGACTTATTTCAGGATTCTCATTTCCAGAACTATAAAGTAATACATTTGTATTGTTTTTAAACCATTAAGTTTGTGCTGATTTGTTTACAGCGACAATAGAAAATTTATTCAAACTACAGTCTTGATACTTTGAAGACAGTAGCATGAGCAATTAATTAGTCCTGAAGACAGCATTGAATGTGAGTTCCATTTTTTCTGTAATGTACTTGTTATCACCCTAGAGACACTGGGTTCAAATGGCTTCTGCATGATCAATATGGGCCTACAGTCAGCAAGATGAGGTCTTTCATTAAATTTTCTCTAGATCTATTTAGCTGTGGCATGCATAGACTGTGCTCTTCTCTATATACTAATGGCCCTGGTGCATTCCGTGACAGACACTGAGCATGCACCTTGTACAACAGTCCCAACTACTTTCCCTCAAAACATTTCTGTTAGGCCAAATACTGTGTATTAATATTTCTTTATTTCTCCTGATCCTTATTTCAGATGTCTAGTTCCACCTCATAAACTTGTAATCATCTTTCAGGATGTAGATCAAGGGTTCTCTTTTGTGGTAAATTGAATTTTTTGCTTAATTCCTCACTTCCCTCCAGCAGCATTCACACCCACACATGGCTCAATGGTAGGTATGCCCCTGGCCCTTTACTTTGGGCTTGGCCATGTTACCTGCCTTGACGAATGGAATTTTTACGGCTGTAACAAGAGCAGAGACCTGAACTGTTTTTGCACAGTTAGTCTCTCTTCCTCTGTAGTGACCCCACAACGAGCACATATTCTGGTCCATGGGGGAGGAGAGTCATATTGAACAGATCTGATCCCAATCTGCAGCTCAAAGTTGGAGCTCAGAGCCTGGCGCCCAAATCCTGAAACCAAGCACAGCCCA